CCTTCTTAGCTCCCTTGTCAAATATTAGTTGGCCATATATGCATCTTGGTTATGTGTCTGTCTTTTTGCCAGTACCGCACTGTTTTTTTTCCTATACCTTTATAACATAGCTTGAAATCAGAAGGTGTGATGCCTCCCACTTTGTTCTTCTTTCTCAGGATTACTTTAGTTATTCAGGGTCTTTTGTGGTTCTATATAACTTTTAGAGGGTTTTTTCCTACTTCCGTACAGAATGTCATTGGAATCTTGATAGGGATTGCTTTCAATTTATAGATGGCTTTGGGTAATTTGGTACATTTTCATGTACCTATTGGCCAGTGTATGTCTTCTTTGTAAAAATGTCTATTTAGATCCTCTGCCCATTTTTTTTAGAGGGGGGGTCACAAGTGAATGAGGTGCAGAGAGAGAGAATCCCAGAGGGACAGAGAGAGAGAGAGAGGGAGAGAGAGAAGCAGGGCTCACCGAAGTGGGGCTCACATGAAGCAGGGCTCATATTTCACCTGACGCAGAGCTTGAGCTCACCCAATGTGGGACTTGAACTCACATGAGATCATGACCTGAGCCAAGGTCAGATGCTTAATGATTGAGCCATCCAGGCACCCTGCCCATTTTTAAAGTAGATTGTTCTTCCCACCCCCCCCATTGAATTGTATGAGTTCTTTATATATTTCAGATATTAACCCTTTACCAGATACACGATTTGCCATCATTTTCTCCCTTTCCATAAATTGTCTTTTCATTTTATTGATGGTTTCCTTTGCTGTATAACCTCCCATGTTTAACAAGCAAAATGACTGGACAGGAAATATGAAGCAATGATGTTTGAACATTGGCCATCAGCCAGCATAGGATGGCACAGACTTGAAAACAGCCAGGTGAGCTTGTCCCCCGACTCCCATGTTGCCTGCAGGGATTACTGGCTTCTGGTGGCAGGGGTGGGGAGTGGGGGAGAAGAACCAGGCTGAGCCTAGCTGTCTCCTTGAGCTGAGAAGGCAGAGTGGGGAGTCCGCGGAGGCCAGGGCAGCTGGTTTGTAGAACAGAGCATAGGATCCAAGAGAGCACTCTGGAATCTTCAGAGAGCGCTCCGTGACAGAGCAGCACATGCGTGTGAGGAAACTCCGAGGCAGGAAGAGAACCACCTGAAAGGAGTAAAGTGAATCTCCAGAGCTCACACAGCAATGGAAAAAGTGCCTGTTCCCTCCAGCCAATGTGGAAAAACCTCATCATTCATGGGGCATGAGGTAAATTATGCGGAAGGCTTTTGCCTCAGTACTGGGGAAAATCATCCCTGTACTAGAAGCCCTGAGGTCCCACCTAATAAAGCTTAAAAAGTAAGGCTTCGCAGATCAAAGTGTTTCTAAGTAAATGAGTGGCATCCTGGAACAAAACTCAAGAGTGTTTTCCTGAAATACAAAAATATCCCAAACCCAACAAAGTAAAACTCACACTATTTGGCATCCAATAAAAAATTAGGGTATGGAAACAAGCAGAAAAATGTGACCCAGAGTGAGAAGAAAAATCCGTTGAAACTGGTCCGGAAATTATTCAGATAATAAAATTCATAGGCAAGTATATTAAAATAGTTATTATAGCTATCCCATATGCTTAAGAAATTAGAAGGAAAAATGAACATGAAAGATTTTTTAAAGACCCAGATTGAATTTCTAGAGATGTACACTGGAATGAAAACTACATCTGATAGGATTAATACCAGCTGCAAAAGATAAGATTAATGAACTTGAATCCATAGCAGCAGAAACGATGCAAAATGGGGGTGTCTGGCTGGCTCAGTCGGTAGAGTCAGTCTTGATCTCAGGGTTGTAAGTTTGAGCCCCGTGTTGGGTGTAGGGATTACTTAAAAATAAAATCTTTTTTAAAAAACTATGCAAAACAAAACACAGTGAGAAAAAAGACTGGGGGGAAAATGAACAAAGCGTCAGTGAGCTACAGAAAACTCAAGTGGCTTCATAAACAGGGTAATTGGAGTCCCTGAAAGAAAGGGAAGGCAGAAAAAAATATTTGTGAAAATAATGGCTGAAAAATTTCCAAACTTGATGAAAACTATAAATTCACAGATACAAACCCCAAGCACAAGAAACGTGATTTAAAAAAAAATGATGGCAGGTCACATTATAATCAAATAGCTCTAAAACAGTGATAAAGAGAAAAATCTTAAAAGTAGCCAGAGGAGGGGCACCTGGGCGGCTCACTCGGTTAAGCGTCCGACATCGGCTCAGGTCATGATCTCATGGTTCGTGGGTTCGAGCCCCGCGTCGAGCTCTGTGCTGACAGCTAGCTTCAGAGCCTGGAGGCTGTTTCAGATTCTGTGTCTCCCTCTATCTCTGACCCTCCCCTGCTCATGCTGTCTCTCTCTCTCTCTCTCAGAAATAAATAAAACATTAAAAAAATTTTTTTAAGTTAAAAAAAAAAAGTAGCCAGAGGAGTTAACAGACATTACATACAGGGAAACAAAGACAAGGGTATGTGCAGGTTTCCCAATAGAAACAATGCAAGTCAGAGGAGAGGAGAGTGACATTTTTATAGGACTGGGGACAAAATTGTCCACCTAGAATCCTGACTCAATAATTGGATCAGACTGCATTCTTCAGTGATTTTCTGCGTGACGGTCCAATTCCCCTGGACATTGGCTCTGAGATGGAGAGGATCGTGCAGGAAGTTGATCAGGAGGTACTCTGAGGATCAACATCTGTGGAGGAGTAAAGAAAGCAGGGCTGGGTGGAGCTCCAGTGCAGCCTCGGTAGAAGCTTCAGGGGACCCTCTCAGCAGTTTTGAAAACAGATGTCCTAGGGGTGCCTGGGTGCCTCAGTCAATTAAGTGTCTGACTTCGGCTCAGGTCATGATCTCATGGTCGTGGGTTCAAGCCCCGCGTTGGACTATGCTGACTGCCAGCTCAGAGCCTGGGCCTGTTTCGGATTCTGTGTCTCCCTCTCTCTCTGTCCCTCCCCTGCTCATGCTGTCTATCTCTCTCCCTCAGAAATAAATAAAACATTAAAAAAAATTTTTTAAAAACAACGAAAACGGATGTCCCTTCAGAGCTGTCTTGAGTTGGGGTGAGGAGCCAGGCCTTTGTCCTCACATTGTCAGTGGGATATGGGTTGCCCCAGAAAGGGTGCACGATCTTGAGTGAGGCAGCTCCCTTGGCCAGGGGCATTTCCAGAGGAGTCAGCTGAGATCACCCAGACTACAGCACCCCAGGCAGGCAAAGGAATGAGTACCTAGATTTTGAAGGGGGATCTGGACACACATGACATTATCCACTACATTTCCACAAACTAAGTGGAAAAAATCCAGCCTCCTTAGCATGGCGCACAGGCCCTTCATGATCTTGTACAGGCCCATCCATCCCCAGCTCACCTCATGCCCTCTTCTCAGCCTGAGAGTCTCTCCCACCCCCTGCCCCGGCCCCACTTACCCACCTGTTGGAAAATTCCTAATCCTTCAAATGACAGTTGAACACACCTCCTCAGAGAATCCTGCTCTGAATGGACTTGGTGACTCAACAGTCCTTCCATCGTGGTTAGGAGCATGGACTTTAAGCCAGGGTTTGAATACCATGTCTGCTGTATTAATGTGACTCCGTAACCTAAGGCAAATTACTCAACCTCTCTGTATCTCGGTTTCCTCATCTATAAAATGGGCATAACATTAGTACTGCTGCTTCATGGGGTTGTTATGAGGATTATACGAGTTAATATGTGTGAACTTAGAACAGTGTCTGGGAGGAGTAAATAGTGCTGCTCTTATTGTTGTTGTTGTTGTTATTGAAGGCACTCAGTATGCATTTGTTCAAGGCACAAAGGATGGAAGGAAGGACCTGAAAGAGACAAAGTGCAAAGTATGTTCAGGGAATGCTGAGTATCAAATTTGTCAGAAGGGTGGTAATAGGGATGCCTGGGTGGCTTAGTCGGTTAAGCGTCCGACTTTCGCTTAGGTCATGATCTCGCGGTTCGTGGGTTCGAGCCCCGCGTCGGGCTCTGTGCTGACTGCCAGCTCAGAGCCTGGAGCCTGTTTCAGTCTGTGACTCCCTCTCTCTCTGACTCTCCCTTGCTCACGCTGTCTCTCTCTCTCTCTCCTAGAAATAAATAAAACATTAAAAAAAAAAAAAGAAGGGTGGTAATAGCCTCTATAAGGTATTATCACCCATGTTGGAAAGAATATTTAATGTCACGGTAAAGAGTGTGGATCCTATTTGTAAGCAATAAGAAACAATGACAGAATTTGTCAGCAGATGGGAGAAAGGGCCAAAGACAGAGAGAGACAAGTTGGAGCCAGGAGGTAAGGCATGTGTGGAGCCCTGAGTTCTAGGCAAGGGATGTGTGAGAAGAAATGGCGGACGGGGACTGTGGGAGGATGGGTGCAGGTGAGGGGAAAGGAGTTTAGAGGAAGGTAATATGAACACATGGAAGATGCAGAGAGGAAGTCAGTTGAGGCTGATAGGGACAGGCAATGAGTGATAGGAACGGGCCGGGAGGGGAGAAGATAAGGCATGATGGCGACAGGTGAGTTTTAGGAGGACAGGTAAGGAGTGACGGGGCACTGCGGTGGGTGGGATCAAGTGATGGGGCACTGCGGGGTGGCGGTCAAGTGAATGGCAATAACCAGTGAGGAGAACCGAAGAGCTGGAGCGGGGACCATCCGGAGGAGAGCCCCAAGGCTGCAGGCGTGGCGAGAAGAGCGGAGTGGAATGTGATGTCAGAGAAAGGGCGGTGATGTAAGAGCCGGGCGGTGGGGCGGTGATGTCAGGGCTGGTGCTGATGCTGGCGGCGCAGTGCATTGTGGGCAGCTCCCCGCTCCGCCGCTGCCTCCGCCGTCGCCCGAGGAGGATCGGGGCCGGGCCGGGCCGGGCGGGGATGATCCCGGGCGGGAGGCCGCCGCCGCCGCCGCCGCCGCCGGAGGGAGCGGGCCGCCCCGCGCCGCACTGAGCCGCCCCCGCCCCGCCCCGGCCCCGGGGGATGCGCCGCCCCGAGCCGCTGCCTCCGCCGCCACAGCCGCAGCCGCAGCGGGCACAGAGCAGGTGAGGCGGGGCGGGGCCGGCGGCGGGCCGGCGGGGTCGGGGCGGGGGCTCTCCTGCGGGCTCCGCGGGCCTCGGCCCGGCTCGCCTCCCAGCGCAGCCTTCCCCCAGCTCCCCCTCCCTGCGCCGTGTCCGCCCGAGCCGGGACGCCCGCCGCCGGCCTACACAGCCTGGGCCGCATCCCGAGGCCTGGAACGGCTCCCTGCCCCCCCCAACATAGGCGCCCGCCCTCGCCAGCCAGCCCCCCAGGGCCTCTGCCCCTCGTTTCTCACCCCTGCCCCCCGTCCCCACGGCTTCGCTCCGCTGTCACCCTGACAAGCCCTTCCCGGCTGCCTCCATTACCCCTCTCCCTTGTCCTCAGTCCCTCTGTGCCTCCCTGCCTCGCGCTAGCTGCCTTACCAACCCCCTTACCCCTTCGGCGGTGCCCAGAAGCCCCTCCCGGGGTCCTGCCGCCTCCTCACCAGTCGTTAGGATTGCTCACCTGCCTCTGTCTCACCCAACCCCCTCCTCTGATCCTGTCACCCCCCATCCCTTCCCTTCTTCTCTGCCTCCCTCCACACGTCTTTTCACCTGCACCCACCACCCCTCGCTGGGCGCCTTCACCTCTCCTTACCTGCGCTCCCAGATCCCCACTTACACCTGGCCCACACCTTGCATAGTTACACATCAACACCTCTACTCACACACCATGATGAGCTCCCTCTCCCTCCCTTCCTGTCTCTCCTTCCCTGTCTCCCCCCACCCTCACACCTCACACACACGCACACACACACACACACACACACACACACACACTTGGCCTCACACTGTCTGACAGATATTCATAAAAACCTCTTCCACAAGCCCTCTCACACGACACACCCATGCCTCCACACACCCAAAGGGTCCTGGGGGGCCATAATGGGGCAGCTGAGCTCCTCGTGGCCTGTTGTCCAACCTCGTCTGAGTTGAATGTAGTCCTCTGAGGCCGAGTGAGGATGGCGGATAGGGAGAGGGAAACCCCATTTATCCCCTGGTCTCTATTCTCCCTTTTCCCACCTCACCTCTTCCTTTAGGCTGCCCATCTATAAGCTGGGAGCTGCACCCCAATTTTTCTCATCAACCTCTAGAATTCACCATTACGGGACTGGAAGACCCACCAGAGGTCACCAGTTCAATCGGTCAAGGCTCCCTCCCTACTGGTTCAATTGCTTCTTCAGTCCTGTCCTCAACCTGTCTTCACCTTTATTCCAGAAGCCCCTGTCCCCATCCCTCTCTCTTTATTTTGCCATTGCCCTCACTGCCCTCTGAATACCTGATGCCCCACGTGCCACTTGGGCAAAACGTGGGCAGAGGCCTATTTGACATCCCCACAGTTCTGACGCTCTGAAGTTGGATGGATTGGAGGAAAGAGTCAGCTGAGTCACTTGAAGAAAGATAGGAAAAGATTGACAGTGTCGCTCCTCTTTCCCCCATGTCCCTCATGGTACACCATGACCTGTTGAAGGTTGTCTCTATGCCTTTACCATCTCACAGTGCCCCCTGTATCAGGATGGCTAGACATGGCCTTGGGGAATTATCCTGCCTCAAGGAAAGATGGGTTCATGGAGTTTCCACCCCATCCATAGATCGCTTAGGCATTTTCCTCCTCTCCAACTCCCTTCCTCCCCACCCTGTCCCCGGCTGGAGGGGCAGAGCAGTGTGCTTATACAAAGTGTAGGGGGGTGGGGGGAGGAGAGAAGAAAAGCTCCTGGTTCCAATCCTGTACTAGGTTGGCAGAAATCTCAAAAAGATGCCCCCTGCCTACACACGTGCACATCAGGGACAGACACAAAAACACCTAAGCACACACAGACAGAGGTACAGGCACAGACACAAAGACACACACACAGACACATAAACACACAGAAAGACACACAAAGACATATACGTGTTCACAGAGGGACACATGCGTGCACACACTTACATTTCCCGGGATGACTCTGGTGGCTTTCCCAACCCTTGCTCACAGCTGGGATGTTCTCCTTGATATTCGGCTTCTACCTTTGCCAGGGCAACAAGAGCTGTCTTCTTTCTTGCTCTTCCTGAGCGGACACAGAAAGGTGTGGTCAGAGCTCTCATCACATCCCCACCCAGACCTGCTGCTCCCTGTCATTCCTCCTGCCTCCTGTTAGACCCATCCCACTCCCTGTGGTCCTCAAGCTCCCCCCCCCCGCCGCCCCTTTCTCCCAATCCAGCCGGTGTCTCTCCCTTGGAGTGGCCGCAGGGCTGCAGTCCCTCTAAAATCGATGTCATGAGTCCATCACCCTATGTTCACCCCATGGCTCACATCCTTGCTTCCGAACCCCATGGCTGTCAGTGGGTTGGGCTCACCCCTGAGAATGGTGTGTTTCTCACAGCTGCATCCTCCTCACTTAGCATTTAGCATCACCCTCAGGGGGCTTTCGTGTATCTCATTTTCTTGATTATTCCATCCCATGGTTGATTAGCAGGTCTCCATCACTCTGGTGCGTGTCTCCCATGGGTCACCCCTTGGTCAGCAGGTCTCCCCTTTCAGAAACACAGCTCCACGGGCATTTGGTGGCACAGGGAATGTGTGGGTGCCGGGGCCTCAGATCAAGTCACTCAGACTGATCCCCTACACAAGCATGGGTCCTAGACTAGTATGCAGCCCCCCACCCCACCCCCCAGAGGTTAGCAAGTCTCCTCCACATTAGTTAGCATCTCTCTCTTTGGGAAACACTTTCCCCATAGTCTGTTCACACTGGCATTTTCCTCTCCTTTGGTGTCCTGCTGTGTGTCCTGCTGCTGGTTTTTACACCCCCAGTTTGTAGTTTGTATCTCTCTTCCTGCGGATAGTATTTCTGTCTTCTCCTCTGACCTCCACCTGGGTGTTTACACAATGCTTCCCCCAGTAACCCCTAAAGCCTCTGCCCCCTGGGCCGAGGAAGGATGCCGGCCAGGAGAACGGAGCTCCCCTCCTCCATATCTGCAAGGTGGTCCCGGTCCCTAGCCTGCCCCACTCACAGTCCCTCCCCACTCCCCCAGGTAGATGGCCCCCCCAGGGCAGGCCCTGCGGACACCCCTCCCTCCGGCTGGCGGATGCAGTGCCTAGCGGCCGCTCTTAAGGACGAAACCAACATGAGTGGGGGAGGGGAGCAGGCCGACATACTGCCGGCCAACTACGTGGTCAAGGATCGCTGGAAGGTGGTGAGTGAATGACCCGGCGGGGCCAAGGGATTGGTAGGGAGAGGAGGGGAGGAGAGGACCTGGAGACCTGTTAAAACAGTTGCCCCCAACTCTTCCACCCTAAGAGGGAGGTGCCCCTGAGTTCATTTGCATCGTGCTTGCAGTCACTATTTTGGCGTACACTGGTGGACAGTCGCTTTCTCCCAGCGCCCTGTCTCACCCCTTTGCCTGCTAGGTCAGGTTGCTCGGGCCCAGCCTGGAACAACTCTTGGTTGGACGTCGGAGCAGGAGCTGCAGAGCTTAGTGGGGGAGGCGGGCGGGGTGGGGGAGGGGTCTCGTTGCCGGACCTTGGAGAAGGGCAGTGAGTGAGCATGTGTCCCTCCGCTTCCGCAGAGGACAGAGAGGCCTGGCTTCAGGGAAAGAGGCCCTGCGGGCTGCTCCCACCGCAGCCGCACTCCATCTTCTTCCACCCTCCTCCCCTCACTGGTTCCTGCGGCAGGTGCAACACGCCGAGACTCCATCTCCCAGCGTGCCTTGCTCCTCCAGCCCAGGACTTCAGTCTGTTCAGCCTGCTGGGAGTTGTAGTCCGCGCCTCCTCGGGGGTTTGGGCCTGGACGGGAGGGGGGCACGTGAGGGGCTGGGGAAAGACAGTGTCTGGGGAGCCGGACCTATTGTAAATCAATCCCTGCGGCCCACCCCCCGCTTTCTTTCCGTCGCTTGAGAGCGCTCTGGTGCCCTTTTATTGTGGGGGCAGGACGGTGTAGGGTGGATTGCGGGGTGATGGTTTGTGATCTTGTGGGTCTGCGTGGCAGAGTGAGGAGCCTGGAGGAAGGGAGGGGGAACAGCACAGACCTACGCTGAGCCTCTGTGTGGGGTGTGTGGGAGTTGAAGGGGGAGGCTCAGCTCACCTGAGCTGTCAGGCTGAGAGGAGAGTGGGGCCTGGGTGCTGGCCGGTTTCCATGGCAACAACCACGTCGCCGGGCAGGTCCCCTAGAGTCCCAGGGATACGGGCAAATGTGGCAGCGTTGGTTGTCGGAGAAGTCTCTGCGACTGGGGAGGGCCGCGACTGGGGAGGGCCGGAGAGCTGAGGGAAGGGGCTGTCTAGGTCCCGAGGAGGACTTCCTGAAGGAGAGAGTGACAGGATGGAAAGTGGGGGATGAGGAGCCAGGGCAGGAATCAAGGGATGAGGGTCTGGCAAGCTGAGGAGTGTTTCTCCAAAAACCCGCGGGTCCCCTGACATGAGAGCCTAGTTTCTGACAGACTGGAGGCAGAAGGACACTGGCACTGAAGAGGTGAGGAAAAGATGGCGTTCACACCATACTGAGTTTGGGTTAGAACTTTTTGAGGGAGGGGGTGGGAGATGAGCGGGGAGAGAAATGGCAAGAGGGAATTGGGGGAAGGGGCAGGCACGCGATCTTTGCCAGGCTGACCTCTTAGTCAGCTGCCAGGCTGGCTGCTCCTGGAGAGCTAGAGAGGGTGGGGTGCCAGATGGCTTCCCTCAGCCATCTCCCTGTGAGGAGTGGGTCAGAGACATGAGGCAGAGCTCAGGAACCCAGCACAAACTGCCCGAAGAGAAAAATGAGCTGGCTAGGAGAAAATGAGGGTCAGTGGCACTCGGTGAAGTATTTATAAATAATAGCATTTCACTCTTGAGGGGTGCTTCTCAGAATCAGAATAGCAAATAATAATAATAATAAAAGCAGCATTTGTTTTGAGCCCCTACTGCGGCCAGACACTGTGCATTATCTCAACAAACAATGGAGTAACTATTGTCATTACCCCCCTTTTCACAGGTGTGGAGGCAGGCATAGAGATTAGCTAACCTGCCAGATTCTTAAGACTGGGTGGGACCAGGTCCTGCTGACTGTTGAGTCACTATCACTAAGCCACACTGCTAGCCAAGAATTAGCCCACCCCAAAATCAGGAGCACAGAGATGAAGGAGTCATTGTAACCCGTTCTAGAACAATTCTTTCATTTTACAGAGGAGGAAAAGTGGAGGCACACAGTTTAAGACACTTGCTCGCGGTGACCCAGAGCTGGCCAAGAAGCCAGGTTTCCTTTTTCCTGAGCAAACACTGGCCCTATTGTGTCATATTGGCCCCCCAGTTTAGGGAGTTCCTTTGACAGGCGAGGGGATCAGGAAAAAAATTAGGAGGGGAAGAATAGTGCCTGGTAAAGGTGGATTAAGAAAAGATTTCTGTTAGTGGGCTTGGGCAGGGCTACATTATGACTTTCATGGGCCCTGGACCCTTTTGCCTTCATGGATTCCTTTCTCTATAATAAAGTACTAAAAATTATATTTTCTGACTGCACTGGTATGTAGAGGAATGAATTAACATTAAATGCTACTTTTTTTTTTTGACCTAAGAGGTCAATTGTTTTCCTTCCGATTTAAAATATTGAAACATTTTTATGGCCTCTTTTAAGTATTATGGACCACTGTGTCTGCTGTGCCCGATGGTTAAGTGGGCCCAGACTGTAGGGCCTGGGGAGAAGGGGTGTTGGGTAAGTGGGTGGATGCAGATGCCAAGCTTGCCTCCCCGGGAGGTTCTGTAATGAGGCGGTGGGGGGACAAGGAAGGGACTAAGGGAGGAGAAATAGCCTCTTTGGAAATGAAGATGGTAGAGAAATACTATTGGCCATGCTCGGAAATTGGGAAGCAGGTTCCAGAAATGTCTTGGCTGCCCCAGGCCCTCCTTACCACCTCCAGTGAGGATTCTGGAGCCCGGCAGATCTGGGCTTGAATCCCAGCGCTCACACTTTTAATCCCTGTGCTGTCAACAGTTTCCTGTGATATCGCGGTTAAGAGCGTGGGTTCTGCATCAGATTGCCTGGGTTTAAATGAAACCTGGCTTTGCTACTTACTAGCAGTGTGGCCTGGGGCAGAGTACTTAGGTCTCTGGGCCTTAGTTTTCCTTCTGTGCAAAATGGTGACTTAATGACCTTCCTCACATGTGTTGTCAGGAACATCAGGGGATGAGCTGAGATGATGTCTTAGAGTCGGGAGCCCAGAGCCGGAGATGTGGTTATTGTTCCCTCCCCTCCCCCTTTCTTCCATGCTCACATACAGCAAACCGTAAAGGATTCTAGAAGATGCCATAAGTATCTGAGTTTAAAGTTCCCCAGAGGAAGACAAGCCACTGCTTTCCTTGAGTCTGCATCTGCCCCCTCCTTATTCTGAAATTCTTCTAGGAGTCTGACTTTCATCTCAAGTAGAGAGAGATTCTGGGTTCAGACTGTTCTTCCCCCTTTCCCTCTTCCTGTGTCCTTCCCTGAGCACAAGAGCCTTCAAGACTCTAAGAAGTGTAGCCAGACTTCCACTTCTTTTCTGAATCTTCCCTTCTCCCTTCTCTCCCTTCCTAGAGATGTTTCAACTGTAACCTGCTGGGAACTCCCAGTCCTTGGCTCAGCCCTGCCCCCCTCCCCCCTCCATCCCCATGCTTCGGCCACCATTAAACATTTAATGAGATCTGAGTGCTGGATAAATGCTAAGGGAAGGGCTTGGAGATGCAAGAGACTCAGAGTCCCTTTACAGGCTGGCCAGTCAGAGCAGCCTCTGCCCAATCACTAGCAAGCCTGGCTGTGCTGGTGAGTTGACAAGCCAACTGCAGGCAAGTGAGGGTTCTGGAAGGTGCTCAGTGAGGGCGGGTCACCTGTGAGGTGAGCTGTACATCTTTTTAAAACCAAACAGGTCCCAACTTAGAACTCTGCACCTTCTCCTTGTCCTTTATCATTGCCAGTAGCCCACTCCAGGAACCCCGGGGGCCTCTGACTTGAAATGATCTTAATCCCTTCCCATAGCTCAGCTTTGCTCCTCCACACTTGCCGACTCTTCCTCCAACACAATTCTTCCCTCTGCCTTTTCTCACTGCCTGCCCAGGGATGCTGGAGGAGGAGGGCCTAGAGGGTCAGGTCTGTACTGCCCCTTCCCCTGGGGGGATAGACAGACTCGCCAAACCTCCATTCCCACCATGGTCCCACAGCACCCTCTGTCCCCAGAGGAGGCTCACCCTGGTTTGAGGCATCTGACTAGGGGTCTAGAGAGTGCTGTGAGCTTCAACAGCAGGATGGGCATTGAATACCCTTTGCTGAATCCTCTTACCCCAAATACTTACACCACCCCACCAGTCCCCGATTACGCTCTCCCTCTAATGACACCTGTCAGGACATTGCCATCCTCAGGAAGGGCCAGCTTCCCTGAAGGATCCACTCTGAAGCCAGGAGGCTCTGGAAATTAGTTTTCCTTCTGGATGGTGGTGGTTCAGTCTAGTTTGGGGGATGGGGAGAGTGTGATATTTCGTGTCCTTCCAGAGAAGAAAGGATTTATGATGGGCCGTGATCTCTTCAGAATCCTACACAGGCTTGTCTCCATGTCTCCATGGGGTCAGAGGTCACATACCCTCTCCCACCTCCCAGTCTGACACCTAGCCCAGTGTGTGCATGCACGTGCTTGCATGGGCTGAGCTGTCTCCGGCACTAGGAGGGGAAGTGGGAGCACGGGTGGGCGGGGCCAGGAAGGCAGACACAGGGTCCCCCCCTTCAAGACTAGCCATACCACCAACGAAGGGTATGACCCAGCAGTGGGTGGGATGAGGAGCTGCTCAGCCTGACCCCTGGGTTCTATCCCCCTCTTCCATCTCCGTAGCTGAAAAAGATCGGGGGCGGGGGCTTTGGTGAGATCTACGAGGCCATGGACCTGCTGACCAGGGAGAATGTGGCCCTCAAGGTGGAGTCAGCCCAGCAGCCCAAGCAGGTCCTCAAGATGGAGGTGGCTGTGCTCAAAAAGCTGCAAGGTGCGGGCCCAGGGCAGGAGGATGGGAGGGAAGAGGAGGAGCCAGGGGAGAGCTGAGGGGGATGGTGAGATGGAATCAGAGTCTAAGGGCGGTGATGGGGAGAGGGGCAGGGGGAGGTGGCAGAAAAGGTGGTCACGGGACCAGGAATCCAGAGTGCACCAGAGACACCTTGGGATCGGGAGTGAGGGAGAAGGAGTAGGAATTGGGAGACCCTTGTCTGTGCCCCCACAGGGAAAAGCCATGTGTGCAGGTTCATTGGCTGTGGCCGGAATGAGAAATTTAATTACGTAGTGATGCAGCTCCAGGTGAGTCCCTGAGGGGCACTCCCTCCACTCTCCCCCCAAAGCTTGGGTTGTGACCCCTGGGGTGGGGAGTGGGCACAAACCTTTGGGGATGAGGCTGGCCAGAGTGTCACAGGGGTGCTGGTTGGCACGACAGCTGAGCCTGGCCCTCCCCCTGCCCCTCTCCACCCCCAGGGCCGGAATCTGGCCGACCTGCGCCGCAGCCAACCGCGAGGCACCTTCACGCTGAGCACCACGCTGCGGCTGGGCAAGCAGATCCTGGAGTCCATTGAGGCCATCCACTCCGTGGGCTTCCTGCACCGTGACATCAAGCCGGTGAGGGCTGCCCCACCTGCCCCCTCTTCCAAAGCACACCCCTGCCCCTTGCCCTCTCCCTCTCTGGGGCCCATGGTTTCTCCCCCAGAACAGAGGTTTGGGCAGGAGCAGCCTCTCCTACCTGTCCCTTCCTCCTGCTTTCCACCCCAAGCCACTTCTCGCCTGCTGGGAGAACACACCCCTGCCTGCCCCTTGCCCATGTCTCTCCTCTGTTCCTCTCTTCTCCCTTACCCATGCCCTGATTAGTCCTTGAACCTCAAAAGGTGCAGGGGTTGGGGAAGCACAGAGGAATTGATCAAAAGCGGTGGAGGGATGGGGCGCCCTTGGGGTTCAGTTGGTTAAGCATTTGACTTCAGCTCAGCTCATGATCTCACAGTCCATGGGTCCGAGCCCCCAGCAGCTCAAAGCCTGGAGGCTGCTTTGGATTCTGTGTCTCCCTCGCTCTCTCTTTGCCTCTCCCCTGCTCACGCTCGCTCACGCTGTACCTCTCTCTGTCACTCAAAAATGAATAAACATTAAAAAAAATTTGTTTTAAAGGGATGGAGAGGCTGGGCTTGGTAAGAAATTCCAAGTAGCTGATTTTGTGGCATCTTGGATCCCGCTGTTTGTAAGAACCTCCAATTTAAATAAGGGGTGAAAACTGAGGCCCAGAAAGATTGGTTGAATGGCCCAGGGTCGCACAGCAAGTACAATGCAGGTCTCCAGCTGCCTTTCAGCAGGACAGTGACACTAAGCCACACTGCTCTGCTGGGGAGTCCCAAGGATTGAGGGCTGGACACATCTCAGTTCAACTCCCAGCTGGGTCATCACTTGCTGTGTGATCTTGGAGAGGCCCTGCAAGCTCTTTAGCTTTCAGTATCCTCATCTCTAAAATGAGGTGCTCCCACCTGCTCCTCAGATGGGATGCCATGGCCCATGGCACATGCTGTTGTTTACTCTTTGTTTTATGTTTGTTTTTGAGACAGATGTGGGGGAGGGGGACAGGAAGGGGAGGCAGAGAGAGAGGAGGACAGAGGATCTGACGCAGGCTCTGTGCTGATAGCAGAGAGCCCAAAGACGGACTTGAACTCTATGAACTGTGAGATCATGACCTGAGCCTAAGTCAGACACTTAACCCACTGAGCCACCCAGGCGCCCCGATGCGTACTCTTAAACACATTTCTTGGCCCCTCTTGAGGTGGGCCAAGTGGGGTTGAAGCCCCACGGGTCACAGCCACTGTCTTTCCCAGTCAAACTTTGCCATGGGCAGGCTGCCCTCCACCTACAGAAAGTGCTACATGTTGGACTTCGGGCTGGCCCGGCAGTACACCAACACCACGGGGGACGTTCGGCCCGTGAGTATCGCTGCTCATGGGAATCCCTGGCCCCCTCGCCCGGCCTCTGACCTGGGGACCCTTCCCCAGTTTTTCCTGCAGCTACCTAAGCAGGCCCAGCCCGTGGTCAGTATGGGTATCACCCAGCTCAGTCTACGCTTGGCCCGTCCCCTGGCTCCCTGGGCTCTTGGTGGGTGCCCCATCCACACCTTGTGATCTGGCTGCCTACCTTGGTCAGGGATGGAGACAGGGGTCAGCGAGCAAGACCAGGAGGCAGGTACAGGACTGGGATTGGTGTGTCAGGCTTGCCCCTGACCAGGCCAGCGTGTGGGTTGATGGAGAGGGAAGGCAGTCAGGGTTAAAGCAGGCAGAGTTAGGCTCAGTAAGCAGGGCTGAGATGGGGCCAAAGTCAGGGGCCGCGGGTGAGCATCCTGCCGTGTTCTCCCTTCTGCAGCCCCGGAATGTGGCCGGGTTTCGAGGGACTGTTCGCTATGCCTCGGTCAATGCCCACAAGAACCGGGTGAGTGGCAGAGCTGGGCCCGCGGATGCGGGGGCAGCAGGGCCCAGGTCAGGGACAGAGGAAGGGGAAGAAGGTTGGGTGGGCAGCTGTTGAGGTGGGGAGAGAAGTATGGGCAGCACCCAGAAGCTGCCACGCCAGAGGCCACGAGTGGAAGAAGACTGGCCATTTCCCCGTGACTTTACCTTCTTCCTGTTTTTCGGGATTCCCTCCTCTCTGTTCCCACCATCAATCTGTGTGGACAGAAGTTTCGCTACTGGGACTCTGTCTTTTGGAGGGTCAGGGATAGAGCCATGGTTTCAGGAAGACCTTCAAGGGTTTGGGGTATCAGGCCTCCCTGAAGGGTGCCCCCTTGTGAACGGTTAGCCCACCACTCCCAGGAAGGACCTGAAAGGTGTGGGTGACTCTCCTGTCCCCACCCCTCCAGGAGATGGGCCGCCACGATGACCTGTGGTCCCTTTTCTACATGCTGGTGGAGTTTGCAGTGGGGCAGCTGCCCTGGAGGAAGATCAAGGACAAAGTGAGCCCTGTGCAACTGGGGCTGAAGAGGGTGGGTGGGGGGCATGTGGGCGCTGGGGTCCCATTACCCCGTGCCCTGTTGCCTCCAGGAGCAGGTAGGGATGATCAAGGAGAAGTATGAGCACCGGATGCTGTTGAAGCACATGCCCTCCGAGTTTCACCTCTTCCTGGACCACATCGCTAGCCTCGACTACTTCACCAAGCCTGATTACCAGGTGGGAGCCTGCCACCTGGTCCCTGCACCCGCAGACGTCTCTCTGGGGGTGACCTTCCCTGGGAGCACCCATACTGCTGAGGCCCCACTCCCGTGCCGGCTTAGCATAGTGCATCTCCCCCGGTCCTCCAACTGCATGATACTGCTTTGTGCTCTTGTGAACAGTCTTCATAGCTGAGATTTCTCAACAGCTTACCCTGTTCTCAGTGCCTTTCATGCATTAACTCATTTAAGCTTCAAAATGAGCCTTCGGTGATAACGTGTGTTCCTTATGTTATTATTCTTACACTTAACAGTTAATAAAGCCAAGTGCTTTCAAGTACTTGTCACCAAAACTCTGCATTGCCCCCATTTCATAGAGGAGGTAACGAAAGCCTGATAGCAGGGCTGCGAGCAGGGCTGGGCTTAGGTCCGGTGCTTTTTCCAAGATGCCACCACCACACCCCTAGGGGACCCACTGGCCCCGACGGGAGAATGGGGATACGTCAGCAGTGTTCTGCCCAGGACCCACTATGTGCCAGGCACAAGTCTGCACACCACAGGGAGCATAGCATCAGGCCCACAGTGGGTCCTCAGTGAAGTGGGGCCTGCCAGCAGAGACCCTGTATTCTGGAGAGAGATAAGTCAGAAGTGGAATGGTCTGGGACGCCTGGGTGGCCCAGTCGGTTATGCGTCCAACTTTGGCTCAGGTCATGATCTCTCTGTTGGTGGGGTCTGTGCTGACAGCCCAGAGCCTAGAGCCTGCTTCAGATTCTGTGTCTCCCTCTCTCTCTGCCCCTCCCCTGCTTGCACTCTGTCTCTCTGTGTCTCTCTCAAAGATAAAGAAACATTAAAAAATAAAAAGTGCAATGGTCTGGGGGCCTCTGATGTTCGACAGGTGCCCACTGCCTCCTGAGCCTAGAGCCTAGAGCCTGTCCGCAGAGATGCCTCACTTGGGCAGTAGAAGGCCCTGCCCCCCACCCCAATCCTTAGCCTCCTGGGGTTCCCTGGACCCAGACAGCTGCGAGTGAGCGAGCACATGGTGTGCTGGCCCTGTGCTGGCTGCTGAGGAAAGTTGAGCTGCAGATCAGGAAACGTGTGGGAGGGGGAATCATGGAAGGCTTGAGGAGCAGGGAGGACGGGTGGTTAAGGCAGTGTGGGCGGCAAAGGAAACATCCTGGGCAGAGGCATGATCCCCAGTGGTGGCTTTGGGAAATTACCGGCACTTCCAGGCTGTGGAGCCTTCCCCTGAGATGGTGGAAATGGACGAGCAGGCTGGGGGTGCAGGGGACAGATCTCAGAGGGCTTGTGTCCAGCCAGCGGGGCTCAAACCACGATAGTGATTTGCGTGCTGATTTGCATATCATGTGCATGTTTTCATTTAAAATCAATGTGCCCTTCTCCTTCCAGTGCCCCTTCTCGGCCTCTCCCTGTCCTGGAAGGCCCCTCTCTTCCCTCTGCAATCCCGGCAACTGCCCTTTCCTCCTGGCTAGCCCCAGGGTCACCTCTCTGTCCTCCCGCCACCCCCATCCCTGCAGTTGATCATGTCGGTGTTTGAGAACAGCATGAAGGAACGGGGCATCGCTGAGAATGAGGCCTTTGACTGGGAGAAGGCGGGCACCGATGCCCTCCTGTCCACAAGCACCTCCACTCCACCCCAGCAGAACACGCGGCAGACGGCAGCCATGTTCGGGTGAGTCCTGGGAGGGATGATGGCTCAGTGGGGGGGCCAAGCAGCCTCTGCCCAGGTCGCCCAAAAAGCCAGCTCTCTCCTCCTCTTCTCACCTGGACACATCTAGCTGTCTTTCCCATTCATTGCGCTCAGCAGCGGGGTTCTCAAGCCCCAGGGGTTCCGACCCATCTCCCCTTTCAATCTGGGGACAGGGTGCCCATCCTCACTTGGAGTTTTTGACTTGACTGGGGTGTGGGGAGCCCTGAGTGAAACTACCGGAGCCCCACTGTGTGTTTCTGTGGCTTACGTGCATCCATTTAGTGAACATGTCTTGTGCCCCAGCACCGGGGCCTGAGGGGGCTCAGAGAAGAAACTTGCAGCTGCCACCCCACCCCCCACCCCGTGCTCTTGGTTGGGTCCATGATATTTGTAACGGATGGGTCAGCGATTTCAGAACCTGTGACAGGCGCAAAGACAGAGGCACCTGGGGAGGTGCCGGAGTGAGGAGGGGCCCCCACCCCACAGTGGGAGCAGCCAGGGAGAGACAAGGAAAGAGACCCTGCAGGACTCGACAGCATATGACGGTGCCCCGTACTGTAAAGATACCGCTCAAGGGGTTCCAAAGTGACTCTTCTCTTCACACCCATTGCTGGTCTAAATGAGGTCAGCCCGTGAATGGCAATGGAAATCTGGCAAGGCCCGGAAAGCGACGGGTCTCTGAAATTACTAGGGTGAGGTGGTGCGGCGCCCATCCTGGGCAGCCACATCTCCCTGCAGCCCTTTGCCCGACTGAGGACGGTCTAGTTGCAGGCTTTGTCGGGGGTTGGGGGATGGGGATGGGCCTAGGGACAGCCCCACCCCCTGCCAAGGCCTCTTCTGTGCCTACTCCCATGGGTGGCAGTGACCTCCAGGGCCTGTGTGGTAGGAGAGCACCGTGCCAGCCTTGCCCACGGCCCCTCTTGGCCCCTCCAGGGTGGTCAACGTGACGCCGGTGCCCGGGGACCTGCTCCGGGAGAACACCGAGGATGTGCTGCAGGGCGAGCACCTGAGTGACCAGGAGAACGCACCCCCAATCTTACCTGGGCGGCCCCCCGAGGGGCTGGGCCCCAGCCCCCACCTGGCCCCCCACCCCGGGGGCCCTGAGGCTGAAGTCTGGGAGGAGACGGACGTCAACCGGAACAAACTCCGGATCAACATCGGCAAAGTAACTGCAGTCAGAGAGAAGGACGTGGGTGGCCTTCCCCCGCTCCCTCCCTGGTCCCCCTCCCGTGGCCCCCTCCCCGCTCCTCCTGTGTGCCCTCTCCCCAGCCACGTGCCCACCTGCCCTGTCTCCGTGGCTTTGCCCTGTGTCAGGATCACCAGCGCCGACTTCCCTCTGTCTCCTTCACCCTGGGAAAACCACCTGACCCACCGCCGCCCGGTCAGCCCCAGTTCATGGCACTCCCCTCTCCTGCAGACGCCTTGTGTGGTGGAAGAGGAGCAGAGCCGAGGTGTGGGGGTCCCCAGCTCCCCGGTGCGTGCCCCTCCAGACTCACCGACAACCCCGGTCCGTTCTCTTCGCTACCGGAGGGTCAACAGCCCTGAGTCTGAGAGGCTTTCCACAGCGGATGGGCGCATAGAACTGCATGAGAGGAGGTAGGTCTGGGGCCAGGGGGTCGGCCAAGGGCCCTCTGGCCCCCTCAGCCTTCACATGGCTGGTCTGTAGGAAATATTAGATGCAAGGGGGGGGACCACAGGAGTGTTGAGAGTGTTATTCTAGGGCCTGGGGTGTCAGCCTTGGTTAGTTGGGGGAGAGGGAGCAGATGCAGAGGTACCAGCTCAGGCCGCAAAGGGATGTGGGGTGGAAGCAGGCTGTAGGAAGGGGAGGCTGGGTCCCTAGGCCCAAGAGGAGGCGAGGGGTGAGTTGGTAGGTGGGTGTGCTTCCAGAACCTCTCCCTAGAGACTAATTACAGATGCCTCAGAGCAGCTGACTAGGCTCCCTTCAGCTATGGGGGAGGGGCCTGGGAGGAGAGCCCAAGGAGTGCTCAACTCCAGGAGGTGGTGGATCCAGTTTTGGGGGTCAGGGCTCAGGGATCTGAATGTCACAGTGGGGACCTGGTTGGTGGGAGGGAGAGTTGAGAGCCAAAATGATCCTTTGGGACAGGAGGGGGGGGTGCAAATGTGAGGGTGGCCCATGGCCATCAGGGACCAGAGTCAGAAGCTCAGCTGAGCTGTGCAGTGGGTGGGACAGCTTGGTTCTCTGGGTGGGGCGTCACCGCACAGCAGGCCTGAGGTCTTCTCCACACCAGGGAAGGGGTCTTTTCCCAAGGGCCAGCCTAAGAGGATGGGGTCTTCTCCCCAACCATGCACATGCAGTGTGCCTCGTCATCCCCATCTCACCCACGGCCCCTCCTCTGGATTCTGCTCCAAACTGCACTCCACCTCTGGGATGGGGCACAGCGCCCCTTTGAAGCACAGCAGCGCTCAAGACAGGAGAGCCCCATGCCAGTCCCCACGGCACCCCCAGGACAGAGGGATGTGGGCCCTGTGCTCAGGCTGCCAACAGCCCTCACACGTACACTCATACTCACACTCACACAGGTTGGCCTCCCTGGGACTGAAGACCACATTTTCATCCATGGTAGCCCAGAGGGTTCAGGAAACAAGGAGAACTGAGGAATGGCAGTTTGGAAGGGATATCAGTGGAGAAGAGAGGTGGGAATGCCCCGAACAAAGACAGTCCTGAAGAGCAAGCTGGTTTGATTCAGAGTGAACCCATGTTTCAGGGATGATAGGACGGGGAGACGGCTGAGGAGAGATTTTCTGGGAGGGAAGGCTCAGGATCTCGTAGGTGGGGCAGAGGGTTTGGGTGGGCTCTGGGGCACCTGGGAGCAGGAAGAAGTATAAAGCAGATGGGATTTGGATTTCCCTCCTTCCCCCCTTTTCTCGTCCCCCCTTCCCCCACCTTTAGCCCCTGTGTCCTTTATGTCCGTCAAAACAAACCACGCTCTCAGGAGAGGAAGCAACATCAGCCATTCACATGGGAGTATCAGTGTGGGACCCTGGGTGACCAACCTCAGGAATGTTTGCATTTAAAGCCTTATTAAATCAATACAGATCTTGTGGAGAGGGAGGAGTCGATAGGTCCCGCAGACCAGGGCAGGGCGATGTTGAGAACGCCCCACGTGGCTCTGAACTGCCCCCCTCTCTCTCACAGGCTCGAGGCTGGGGGGATAAAAAGAGTCAGCCCCTGCCCACAGCCCGAGCGTGAGGGTGTGTACAGCCCCAGGGGAGCTGGTGTTTGTGTGGCTTCCTCCAGCCAGCAAAACCTTCTCTTTGGGGCTGGTACCCTCCCCTCCAGTTGAGAACCTCTGGCAGTGATATGAGGTTCACGGCCCAGTGTAACGTAACAATGGAAGAGGTGTCCCAAGGTAGGATCACTGCCCCAAAGTGGGATGGGACCCCGTCCCTGGCTGGTGGAGCTCACAGCCTCGTGGGGAGACAGGTATGTAAACACACGTGGCCCACTCTGTGAGGAGAGGGGCGCACAGACAGTGGTGGGAAGGCAGGCCAGCCCCCCAGGTGGGATGGAAAGGCTCCCCCCTCAAGAGGTGACATCCAAGGTGCTTGGGACAGCAAAGTGCGGAAGCTCAGGCCATGTGGAGAGAGCGGCACAGAAATATGAACACAAGCACAGTTCCGGGAAAAGCCAGTGGATCTGAGATGGGTCTGGCTGGGAGAATGGGGATACTGGGCCTTAGCCTGGACGCTTGAGTGCCAAGCTAAGGAATATAGACTTTGTCCTCGGGGCTGGGAGCCACCGGAGTCTGTTAGGGGTGGTGAAACCAGCCAGCCAGGCCTGGGAGGTGGTGGCAGAAGAAGCTTGAAAACCCATCTGCAAACTCAAAGTCCAGATGGGTGTGTTTGCCCTGGCGGCAGCAGGAGGGAGCCTCTGACGGAGTGTGAGCACTGCACCAGCAAGCATAAGTGGCCCTTAGGGAGAGTCAGTGTCCCGGCTGGTCCAGAAGAGAGCGTTCCTTGGGCCCGGGGACCAGGTTTTCTGCATGTTTGTATTCCTGGAACACAGTAATCATTCAACTATGTGTGTTGCAGGGAATGAATGAAACAATGAATGAATGAGAGCTTTGTGGGGAGTGAGGGTGGGGGGCTGGTAATCTAGGAGGTGACCGGGCCTGGCCCAGAGTGAGAGAGATACAATGGTCAGTAGGTGTCACATTGCACCTGGCCACCTACTCGAGTTCCTTGGAGAACTGGAGAGGCTCGGCACTGAGCCTCCCGTGGGCTGGCTTTGCAGGTCACGGATGGATCTGCCCGGCTCACCCTCGCGCCAAGCCTGCTCCTCGCAGCCGGCCCAGATGCTCTCAGTGGACACAGGCCACGCCGATCGGCAGGCCAGCGGCCGCATGGACGTGTCAGCCTCCGTGGAGCAGGAGGCCCTTAGCAACGCCTTCCGCTCGGTGCCGCTGGCCGAGGAGGAGGACTTTGACAGCAAGGAGTGGGTCATCATTGACAAGGAGACAGAGCTCAAGGACTTCCCCCCGGGGGCCGAGCCCAGCACGTCGGGCACCACGGACGAGGAGCCCGAGGAGCTGCGGCCGCTGCCTGAGGAGGGCGAGGAGCGGCGGCGGCCAGGGGCAGAGCCCGCCGTCAGGCCCCGGGGACGAGGCATGCAGACGCTGACTGAGGAGGACCCTCGGCAGATTCCATCCCAGCCCCTACCACCCCCGCTCAGCCAGGCTGATGGCCGGTCAGAGGCGTCGCAGCCCCCCACGCCCGGCAGTCCTTCCCACTCACCCCTGCACTCGGGACCCCGCCCTCGACGGAGAGAGTCGGATCCCACAGGCCCGCAGAGACAGGTAAGGTTGGGCTTGCACCCCACCCCCCACCCCTGAATGCCCATAGTGTTGCCTGGAGTGCTCTCCATGTGCTCCTTGTGTGCTCTATGGGGGTTATTGACTGGCACCCAACCGTTGCAGGCTGTGATGAAGGTAGATAGGTTTTAGGGTCCAAAACCATGCTTGAGGCACAATCAGAGCTTCCAGAGAAGGAACCCGAAATGTTCTGAGTTGCGTTTCGCATTATGAGCAGTGTTAGCTAGGTGACAAAGCAGGAGAAGGGCCCCCGGTCCAAGCAGACAGTGGGTACAAAGGCCCGGAGGTGGCAGTCAGAAAGCACTGCCCTGATGGCATGTTGCAGCAGATGAGGCTGAGAGGTAGGTCCCTGGCTCCATTCCAGAGGGCCTTGGGGCTGAGCTCAAGGGTTAGAGCTTGATTCTGAGGGCGTGGTGAGCCACCCAGAGCTTTTAAACGGGGGGGGGGGGGGGGGGGGGGTGACATATGATTACCTTGCTACTCTTGAATGAGCCTTCTGGCTGCTGTGTGGAAATGGATTAAAGGGTACAGAACTGCCCGCAGGAAGGCCACATGGCAGTGCCAGCCAGAGAGTGCCCTGATGGCTTAGACCCGGTCAGGGGCTCTGGACGTGGGGCAAGGTGGACAGAACCAAGAGGTGTTGGGGAAAGGACTGAGGGGGCTGTGGGCAGAGGGTTCCCAGCCGATGTCCAGAGGGCTGGGTGGACAGCAGTGCCGTCATGGAGTGGTTTCGAAGAGAGCATGTCTCCTCAGAAGGGCTGGGAAGAGCCAAGGAGGTGATGCTGGGGGGCTCTGGGGTCGTGCCGCGTTCCACTCAGTCGCCCCACGTCAGGGCTGTGCACCAGGTGGCTCTGGGAAATGCCAAGGTATGGGGCCTGGGGCCAGGGGCAGCTCTGCTGTGTGTGCAGATTGGGAGGCCCAGCCTGGGAGCACGCGGGTGCCCTGGAGAAGGGCAGCTCGGGGCAGGGCTGTGTTCAGGCCCCATCCCCATGTCTAGGAGAGAGGGGCTCTGAGCTGGGATCCTGAGGGGTGTGCGTCTCAGCTGTGCCCTGGACTCTGGAAAACTGGGGGCTCAAAAAGCGGGGACTCTGAGAGAGGTCCTAGCCAACCCAAACTGGAGGCTCAGCCAGGGCAGAGTGTGGGCTAGCATGACTGCGTTGTTGACCTAGACGTTGTGCCCACCAGGGCCAGCACTGGGTAAGCAGGAGAAAGAGCAAGATCTGTTTATGATTCCCTCTCGCTCCCCTCTCATCTTTTCCTGCATTCATTCGTGTGTTCAATACCTAGTCACTCCACACCTGCTGAGCATGTAGCCTGTGGTGGGGCCCCGAGGCACCAGAGGCCATTTGCACCCACGGGAAGTGCAGTCTAGGAGGGGAGACTGACAGGGGTCGTATAGGGTAGAGAGAGCCCAGAATCCAAGTCAGGAGGCCTAAGTTCTGGACCTGGGCTCTCTGTTGGTCCCCTCCTGGTGACTGCAGGCCAGCTAGGTCTCAGAGAGGGAGCTGAGCTATCTGGGAGTTTTTCTCACCTTCAGGTTCCTTCCAGGCCCTGGGAAACATCCTTACATTGGGGAATTCCGGCCAAGGGGGTAAGGAGAGAGAGTTGGGGAAGCGGGCACGGGAGTCATGTTCAGTCTCAGTCTTGGGCTCAGGTCCTGCTTGTGCTGTGGACAGGTGCTGAGTTGCATGTGTCTGGAGGGGGTGTTAGGTGTTTGTGGGCCTTGGTTTCCCCATCGTGCATGGCGGCCAGGTTGGTTAGCATTCTTTGGCTGTGTGTGTGCGTTTCTGTACCCGCTCAGCTCAGGAGTGCACATGGGTGTGGGTGTGCACATGCAGTGGCGTGTCTGTGGAGCGTGCAGCGGGTCTGCAAGAGCGCAGAGAACCCTGGGAGCCGGGATAGCAAAGCCGGGGGGCTGATAATCATCAGAGCAAAAATTCCAGAGGCAGTGACCAGAGGGGCACTGCTCTTAATAAGGCCTCCGTATTTCACGTGTGTCTTCCTCACAACAATTAACGCGAATAAGGCAACCCCCCCCTTCAAAAGGTAAGGAGACCGAGGCTGGGAGGGGCTAAGCCTTTAGCCCAAGGTCACCAGGGGGCAAGAGGTAGAGCTGGGTGAATGCTGCCTGAGGCCTGTGAGTTCAGAAGAGCAAACACAGGCCAGAGAGAGCGGCGTTGTGCAGTGTCAAAGCCCGAGTGCGTGCATGCGTGTGTGCGTGTGTGCGTGTGTGTGTGAATGCACACGTAGGTGTTCACCCGCTGGCTGGGCCATGTCAGCAGGTCGGCCTTGGGCACAGCAGTGTGCACAATGGCCTGTGTGTGTGTGCACGTGCGCATGTATGTGTGAGCACACGGGGCGGGACATATTTTACTGAGGATTTCAGTAAAGTGCAGTCCGGGTGAAGGAGGCAGAGATCTTCCTTGTCAAGGGCATAGGAAGACGGAGAAATGGACTGGTGCATTTGTTCCTTCTTTCCTTGGTCTGGAAGGAATCCCGAGTCCAGGCTACTCGGGGGCTCCCAAGAGTGGCTGCGCATTGGAACCACCCTGTCACCTTTCTGCGGGGAAGACCCTTCTAGAGCTAGCTTGCTCTGCTCAACATCTGGTCTGTGAACCTCCTCCTAACAGCAATCCTTAAAGATTGTGACACCTGCAATGCTGTCACCTACCCCCTGTGGGGAGCGGGGACAAAGATAATGTGGAACCAGGCACAATTTTAGAGCATGTATTGCTCCTCAGTGTGAATGCCATGATACTTGAAACTTTTTCTTTATGCGAACACACACACTGCTTTCTTCCGCAGGGACTGTAAGGTGCAAATGAGGAGTGGCTGGCAAGCTAAGGCCGAGGGGAAAGCAGCCGACAGGGTGTGTGTGATTTGGGGGAGGGATGTTTGCCATCCTTGGCCAGTTGTCTCTGGCTGATAACACAGCAGGTCAGCATTCTCTGAGCGCATGGACATTTGCTTGGCCACCACTGGGGCATTTCTCCGCCACGTGCCAGGCAGCGTGCTGGGGGCTGGGGAACAAAGATGAATGAGGCGTCATGGTCCGGCTCTCTCAGAGCCCACAGTTCACAGGCGTGGGTAGGGCTGCACAGTTGTGGACTTGGGTGTCTGTCGGCGAGGGCCATCAGGTGGAGAGCAGAGAACTCTTTGCTAGAACAGGGAGCCTGCCTAGGAAGCTGGGTGGTCGCGTCAAGAGGGTACGTCAGGTGGGCCCGGAAGGTGAGGGAAGGGGCAGGAGCACGCAGGGATCAAGTCCCTCTGGAAGCTGCCAGGCTCTGGCTGGGGTGTTGCGAGGGGAGCTGTGGGCAACTGCTGGTGCCTCTATCTTGTGCATGGAGGGCCTCGGACCCCTAACCCTCAGCACGGCCAGGACCTCCAGCTCGGAAAGATCCTAGACTTGGCCAAAGAGAAAGGGAAGGGAAAGCAGGGTGGGGCCAAAGCCAGTCCTATCAGAACCTTCTCTCTGCTCTCCTCTCTGATGGAGGCTCCATGTTGGGTCCCCATGTCCCCATTTGACATCTGTCAGGGGACACTGGAGCTGAGTGTCCTGGTCCCACCCCCCACCCCCACCCCTTCAGCTCTCTGGCAGCTGGCCCAGCTTCGCGCTCAGGCCCCACCAAAAGCTGTTTGTTTAAACTGACTCCAGTCACAGGAGGAGCTAGGGGTCAGGATGGGAAAGGTCTGGGGACATCCAGGTCACCATTTCCATCCCCACAGGCCTGGGACACACAGGCCCACTTTTCCTTTTCCTTCTCGGGGCATGAGGGCAAGAGGGCACAAACAGGATTGTTCCCGATGTCAGTGGGGCGGCCACGCCCCTCCCACGGGCTGCCTTGTGGCTCAGCCTTGGAGGGGACTGGGAAAAAGCCACGTTGGAGAAATGGTTTCAGCTTGCCCCTCCTCCTCCCAGTCCTCTATTCCTTTCCTCACTCTCAAGAGTGACTTAGAGGATAATCAAGCAGCTCACATGACACAGCATTTACTCCATGGCAGTCCTAAGTGTGTGCACATTATAAACATCTAGTCCGCGTGCCAGCCCTATGAGGTGGGAACCGTTGTTACCCCCATTTACAGGTGAGGGAGCTGAGGCTGGAGAAGTGAAGTAGCTTGCTTGAGGTCACCCAGGTAGTAGGTGGGAGAGCTAGGATTCAAACATGTGTAGCCAGACTCCAGAGTCCTACCCTTCTGCTACATTTAGTCACTGAGACCCTGCCACGCCCCTGGGGTGCCGGCAGAGGGGGTGCAGGGAATGTTCTCTGGACCATGTCATGAGGAGTAAGGAGTACAGCTGGGGAGACAGATGGCAGGTAACAGTTACAGAGGGGCCTTCCTGGGGGAGGGCACGGGGGAGGATTCCTCAGCCCAGGGGGATCTCTGAGCTCTGCAGGGCTAAGGCAGGAAGGTCGCCCAGGGGAGGTGAGTGACCAAGGTCTCCTTGCAGAGACCGTGGCGTGAGAAGTGCCAGAGAGGAGGAGGACTGGGAAGGGAGTCGGAGGCCAGAGGCTAGGTTCTGAGGCTGGACGGGGCAGTGTGCACCCCTCCACCTGGCCGACCCTGCCCCGCCCCCCTGCCCTGGACGCCAGCGCCCGCAGGGGCTGTGAGCGGTGGGTGGCCCCCGAGACGGAGCTGTCGAGTCTGTGCCTGACGCCTCTTTTCCCTCCACTCTCTTGGTCTCTTTCAGTTGGAGGAGGACAGACTCTCGGGGCACTCCCTCCCGCGGTACAGCCCTCTGCGACGACTGGCGTCCTCCGTGTTCTCCTCCTCCACGCTGGAGACCGAGCATTACCCTCACCCTGGCGGCGGCGGCTCTTCCGGTTCCCTCATTCAGCGCAGCCGCTCGGCGGAGAGCAGCCCCGTGCGGGCGCCCCACCGGCGCCACGCGCCCCTCGCCGCCGGCAACCACAGACTCGTGCCCTCGGTGCTCCGCATCTCGCGGTCCCAGCTGCAGCAGGTGTGGGCCCGCTTCACCCACAAGA